GGACACGAGGTCTGGTCTTCCGCCTCGTTCTACACAGAGCACTGCTGATACCAGGAAGCCACGTGAACATGGTACAGCAGGGACCTTGCCGAAATGGATGTTTGCCCGCCTGTGGTCAGCGCTTTGAATGGACAAACTCACTTAGATTATACAGCTTGTGTATTTGTCAGGCTTCTTTTGTATCTCAGAGCAAGTTCTGTGACTGTTGCCTCCTTGCTGTCGCAAAAACATGCACAGTATTCACTGCGACTTCTTTCCTGACGCTGAACGGAAGCAGCTCGCACCTTCCCCGCTCTCCCCCTCTGCCTTATGCTCGGCTTGGAGTTCTCGAGCACTGAAAGGTTATCTGCAGCGAGGCCACGTGTTCCCCTAATTCTTATTCCTGTCACAGAATAGAAATGGTGTTGGGATGTGTCTTAGCAATTTCTGTGCAGAAATAGTTTTAATTGAAATGTTGTTTCATTTCAGCGTGGCTTTGTGTCAGGTGGTGCAGATAAATCTGTCATGTTCTGGGACTTTGAGTTGGTGAAAGACGAAAACAGTGCCCAGAAGAGGTAAGTGGACACTTGCGACTGGTGTCCGTTTATGGCCATGAAAACAGGAACACGCTGAATGACCTTCTGACAAGTGTATTAGTTGAGCTTCAGAGAGCTTTTGGGGTCTTTGCCTCTACGTGGGGGCTACTATTTCTTGTCTTGATCTTTTCTGTGTTGCCAGACTTTCTGTGAAGCAAACCAGAACCTTGCAACTGGATGAAGATGTTCTGTGTGTCAGTTACTCTCCCAACCAAAAGCTGCTGGCCGTGTCCTTGCTGGACTGCACGGTCAAAATTTTCTACGTGGACACCCTGAAGGTACCGTGATGCTTTCTAAGGGCGCCGCAGACTGTGGCTGGGACGCTGAAGAGGCGGGCTTGGCTCTGTCCAGCGGCAGTGTGGTCTGCGTGTCAGAACATCTGGAGGGCTAGGGAAGCTCGAGTTTGACGAGAACCCTTGGGTTCATAAATAAATGTTGTTTAAAGCAGGTGATAGTTCACGTCCAGAAAATCTGTGGACAGAAAATCTGGGCATAGCTAGTGGGGTAAGAACATGGCGAGGTGACCTGGGCAGGGTCCACGCTCGGCTGGACTCACGGCCATTTGGGCTGCGCTTGGAAACGTAGATGCGCGGACCCACACCAGGGGACTGACTTGTGCCTGGGAAGCCCCGTGAAGCGGGTGCCCGGAGGCTCCGCCGTGGGGCCCGGGGCCACCTGTGCCGCTTCCTGAGCGAGGCAGCAGTCTGGTGGGGTCCCTGGCCCAGAATACTAGGTGCTAGGTGCTCCAGTGAGTGCCCACAGGGTCTGCATGCTGGGCTAGGGCAGCTTTAGTGCCTTTGAGAAACGGACACGATGGTGTCAGCCTGTGCTGTCGAGCCCTGCCTTAGATGCACGTACACATTATGCCTGGTTCTTGTAGATGTCTGTTTTATGCCCTTCGTATTTGTTAGCCAAACTCTTGTTGCACTTAACTTACATTCTTCTCTTTTAACATTCAGTTTTTTCTCTCGCTGTACGGCCACAAACTGCCTGTTATCTGCATGGACATCTCTTATGTAAGTAAAGTTTGAAGAGGATCTCAGTAGCAAGCGGCCTTTTCTAAAGCTGCCACTTTCTCAGTTCTAGGCTTGAGAGCCTCATTTTAGTGTTTTTTGTTTTTATTTTACTCTGTTGAATATCTCCTCCAAAAACATAAAATGCATATTAAAATCATACCTTGAAAAACTGTGTGCCGTATATGCGCCTTCAGAAGTTTGCCACATTTTACCTGAATCAATCCTCAAAGCTAACTCCTTGTGGTTTCCTCATCTAGCATTTTTAAAAGGCAGGCCCATTATTTCTGAATAATAGGTGTGAGGAAGATGGAACTTGTTTTACATCCGGGATATCCGGGCAGTCACAGTATACACACACACACACACACACACACATTCTTACAATATACAATATGCACACCTCCCCCCCCTTTTCATCTCTTGATTAAAATAGATTTTTTCCAGTGTCTACTTACGATAGGAGTAGCAATATATAGTTAAAAGCAGTGTCTGGTCTGGGTGAAAGGAACTGACCGATGGTCTAGATATCTACAATCAATACATGAGCAGCACCGCTATTTCCAGCTTCCTTATTGTGTTGTCTGCAGTTTGAACTAGGCCTTCGATTTGAACAGTTAAAGGACACAGTTAAAATGAGGAGGAAGATGGGGTGACAGAGTATACCATAGACATTCTAACAGATTCCTCCAGCTTCAATCTTGCCTCCTCTCCCCACCCCTCTCCCCCCCAAACAGCATGCCAGAGATGAGATTCTTTTTCCTGTCTGTGGCAAAGAGATCACCTGTAGCATTGCAAAAACACTTAAGGGACAGGGTTCTTGCTTTCACTTAACAAGATTCTTGAGTAGACCTATACATAAGAGAAGAATTCAGGACTCTTGCTGAGGAGGTGGAATTGGTATCCGGCATTGACTTTAACGTTTTCAATCGGTAAAGCTTTGCTTCTCCCTCCTGTAGGATGGTGCACTGATAGCCACCGGCTCCGCTGACCGCAACGTGAAGATCTGGGGCTTGGACTTCGGGGACTGCCACAAGTCCCTCTTCGCGCACGACGACAGGTAGCCTCCCAGAGACGACCGCGGGCGTCCCCGGAGAACCATGCCCGTGGGGCATCTCGGGTCTGTTAGTGTTCTCAGGCAGGCCTGAATCGAAAGTCTCAAAATACAAAGCTGGGCTTGAAAACCTGCTGGACGTCTGTAAGACTCTACTGACGTGGAGTCTGATAACATTTGGATATTCCTCTCAACTTGCAGTGTGATGGACCTCAAGTTTGTGCCCAAGTCCCACCTCTTCTTCACTGCCGGAAAAGACCACAAGATTAAGCAGTGGGATGCGGACAAATTTGAACACATACAAACTCTCGAGGTAAGCTCTCGCCCACCCTGCTGGCCTGCACGGGCGCTGCACTGCGGGCTGAGCGTGGGTGCCCAGTCGTGCAAGCTCGGGCAGGTCCAGGCCTGCCGTCGTCACCCTGGGTACTCTCTCTCCAGGGGCACCATCAGGAAATATGGAGCTTGGCTGTCAGCCCCAACGGGGACTACATCGTGTCATCGTCCCATGACAAATCTCTGAGACTCTGGGAGCGAACCAGGGAGCCTCTTATCCTCGAAGACGAGAGGGAGATGGTGAGGACTTCAGGCTCTTCACAGATGTCTGGCGGGGATCCGACGGGCGGCCCCAGCCGATGTCCTGCCGGTGCAGTCACGTCTCTCACTGCAAATCCGGTGCCCGGTCACCGTCCCGACAGCCGGACACACTCAGATGCCCACGGGCATTGTGCTCAGAAAGCGGCAGCTTCTCGCTGTCTCAGTCACAACAGACATGTGCTTGTGCCCTCACCCCACCCCCGGGGCGACACCTTTATCTTAATTCACATCTCTCGCTCTGACAGGAAAGGGAAGCAGAATACGAAGAGAGCGTGGCCAAGGAAGACCAGCCAGCAGTGAGTAAATCTCTCGGGACACAGAGATCACGTTGGAATTACCTCACTGGAATTTGCTATAACTGGTAGAATTTTTAATGGGATTAGAATTAGGGTTAGATTCCAGGTATCACTAGCTGACGTGACAATCTATCTGTACTTCTGTGTCAGTCATCTGTCCCATTAAATCAATATGTACATAGTATCTAACTGCATGTCCTGATTTTTTGGGGGGACAAAGGATTGATTTTTTTTAAGGAGACGTAAGGGAATCTCAAGAAGAACAAAAATGTAAGCCAAGAAATTTGAAAAACTGGGCGTTCTCTTAAAACTTGGGTCGAGCAGGCTGTTTTTACTGTGGTGCCTGTACAATACTTAGCAGCGCCTGGCACTTGCCACGCCCGTGATGGGCGTCACGGTCCGTTACCCCAGAGAGGTGGCGCCTCCTCTGTGGTGGGTCCTGTCAGATAGTGGCTCTTGTGCATCTGTCAACAGTATTGTTCAAGGGTCTCTGTTTCTCCCAGGTTCCAGGGGAGACTCCAGGTGACAATTACTTTGCTGGAAAGAAAACTATTGAGACAGTGAAAGCGGTAAGTTGATACAGAATGCAATAGCTGACATTGTTAGTAGGATTCCAACCGCTTGGTGAAGTCCTTATCAACCAGATAGCCCTTTGTGGCAAAAGTGTCCTCACTTTATAGGAGGAGACCGTAACTTCACCTCCTGTTGTGCACAAGGACAGAGCTAAATCTGCTTGACTGTGCGCAGTTTCTAAAAAGGGAAGCTTGGTATCTGAAAGTCGCGCCTGTCAGGTGTTCCTGGGAGCTGCACTATTTAAAGTTGACGCACCCCCTGAAGTCAGGACACTCAGTCCCCTCCCTGTAAATTACCAGGCAGAAAGAAGAAAGAAAAACAAAAGCTTCCTTGAAATGCTGTTTGGCGCTCACGCGGCCCATCTTTATTAAGCCGATTCAGGCCGTTTCCCTCGGTAACTTTCTAGTCAGGCCCGCCGCTGCAGTGTTCTGGGACCGTGAGGTTGTTGGGTGATTCCTGTCCTTTGTCATCCTCTGTAGGCCGAGAGGATCATGGAAGCGATTGAGCTGTACCGAGCAGAAACTGCAAAAATGAAAGAACACAAAGCCATTTGCAAAGCTGCAGGAAAGGAGGTGAGGCGCCCGCGGTCTGGCCTGGGGCTCTGTGAACAGGGACTCCTGAGAAGAAAGCTGTTTGGGATTTGCTGACTCCAATCAGGAAAGGAGATAAATGTCAGAATCTTCTCACTCACATCTTAGAAGGACGGCGCTGGGGGGTGTCGGGATGGCGGGATGGGGGAGACGGTCAGGAGACTGAGTCTGAGGGAGAACGGTGGGCAGCAGTCACTGCCACACATACACAAACACCGCCTCCTGTGACACGCTCACCCAGCTGATAGGCAAGGAAACTCAGAAAGAGGAGGTGAGGGGCGGGGAAGAAGTAAGCGTGGCCTTAACAAAAAAGGGTAGAAAGTCACGGAAGGATTGGCCAGCTCAAATGTCAGACGGAAGTGTGTCGTCCTCACTCATTGGTGAGCTCTGATCTTTTTAAATATTCTTTAGCATGTTTTCTCTTTTCAAAGTTGTAAAGTTCTGTGAGCACCTGGTCTGTCACTGTACCACCAAAGTCTCACTCTCAATAACTGACTTAAATGTATTTCCCTAGGTTTCTCTTCCTGTCCACCCCATCCTGATGGCTCATGGCAATATCTCTGTGAGTAGAACATGGAGCAGTTTCCTCCACATTACTCACAGGTTTCTGTAAGGAACAAGGGGAGGAGGAAAGAGGCATTATGAGTTGAGCATGATGTGTTGGGAAGTATCTTCTATAAAAGCCTCTCCTGAAGGGCAGTATCCTCTAGCTTGTGTTCCTCAAGGGCCACACTTCTGTGACTCTGCATTCAGCCCTGTGCGGCACAGACCAGTGTTCTTACATCAGTGCTGGCTTGTCCTCTTACCCAAAGCCCCCCGTAGATTCTGTTAATCTAGCTGACTCTGGGGGGTTTGAAGGACAAGCTGACAGAGTCAGACACGGAGGCGAGGGAGTGGGAGGGAGCAGTGCAGCGGTCTCTACGCGCCGCTGTACACGCCAGGCCCACTGGGCCCAGTTGCCACACGGTCGTCAGGGCTCCATGGGCCGAAAGGGGCGTGGCCCCACTTGTAGGCGAGGTAAGAGCAGTTGGAACCTCCACGCAGGTCTGACTCATTGGAGTCAGACCCAAGTGAGCCTTGGTACTTCCGCGCACTGTTTTCAAGTGAGAGCGGGTCTGCTGCCTTTCGGAGACGCGAAGACAGATTTGCACAAAACGAGCAGCTAATGCAGCATCCTTCCTTTGCAGCCTGCAGCTTACGTGCTGGAGATTCTTAGAGGAGTCAAGTCCAGGTGAGTCCCAGCACCCAGCTATGGTCATTGTCAGCTGACAGCCTTGACCAGGGGCCCGTTTGAGGGTGAAATAGATGATACAGTGACTGGTTATCTTCCTCCTAAGTTTCACTGTGCCAAAATATGGATGGAAAACAGTTACTGCTCCTTTTGAAGCAGAAATGGGCAGTCCCTCCGGAAGCCTGGAGGCGGAGACTGAAGGACAGACGCAGGGTCAGGTAGACAATGAAACAGACTACAGTTTGTTGGAAGGTTCCAGCTCTAGCATTTGGCTATATCCGCTTTCTTTGGCCTATTTGTCTTGTGCAGACACAACTGGAATCATGCCGTGGTTAATTCTGTAGCCCCTTCTTTATCATAGAATTATTTCCTGAGGCTTTGCTCGCTATATAAAAAAAAATCATTATTAGCTGTTGCACATGTTCTGCTATTACTGTTTTATGGACGCACGTCTTCACATATAAAACTTGGTCGTCTTGGTTATTTTTCTTAAATAAGAACCCTAGAGGTCTGTTCACTGAATAGTGGCTGAGCTATTTTTTCTAGTCCAACATGATTTGGTTCAAAAATCAAAATGAAAGTTAAGGATGGAGTAGTTATGAAAGTGACGGGGAAGTTACCTGGGGAGTCATGGTAGATTCTCCTACCATGTCATGGACCAAAATATGTCAAAAAGATTGAAATTAAAACATGGAAAAAAGAAAACCATTTCAAATACAGGTGACTATTGAAATGACTTTGAGTGCGATCTACTATAAAAGCAGTAGTAAAATAGCAGAAGGGGATTGTAAAGATTTGACTGAGAAATGTGGCACTTTTGACGTGTCTGTTTTCCTTCCTCAGTGAGCTGGAGGAGTCTCTGCTCGTGCTGCCTTTCTCCTACGTCCCTGACATTCTCACGCTGCTGAATGAATTCATCCAGCAGGGCTCTGACATTGAACTTCTGTGCCGATGCCTCTTCTTTCTCCTCAGGTAACTTCTGAGGAGTATGGCTGTCCCACAGCAGCTAAACTGAAGCTGTCCCTGCTTTGGGACTAAGAAATCTGGCGCTTTGTGTTTAGAAACTTCTGGAACTCCAGCTCTTTGACATAGTCACTTCTTGCCCCCGGAACCAGCCTTGACGTCGGGACACAGTGGTGCCGGCTCTTTGCTAGAGGGTCTCCCTGGCTCCACAGAGCCCCAGGCCGCCCCTGCTGGCAGCCCTGCTTGTCTGTCTCTTGACAACCCCCTACTGTACAGCTGAGTTGCCTCATCTGCGATTTTTTCCAGCTGCTTAAGCCTAACTGTTTTGTTCTGAGAATAGCAATTAAGGGACAGTAGATTTATCTTCCAGGTCTCTGCAAATACAAGTGGAGAAGTAGGGACATACAGAAGGAACCAGAAACATAGAAGGAAAGGAAATATGTTCATCAGAGTATACTGTGAAGCTGGCAAAACAAGAATCCTTTTCAGAGTCTATAAAGCTATACTCATTCCAAGAGGGGTGGACAAGAAGGGGCAGAGTGATAGGGCTGAGCCCTGGAGAGCTTCCGAGGCATGTGGTAATGTGAGCTAGCGTCAAGGTAGTGAAACCTGGGCTGGGGGGAGAGGCTTAACTACGAAGGCTCCTGATAGTGTGTGACCGTTTTCACAAGGCCGTAAGGAGAAACAGCCTTGCTTCTCACCCTGGGCAGCCTCCAGCTGTGCGAGCAGGGAGCAGGCATGGAGCCGAGCTGACATGCCTTCAAGTGCTGTCAGGGTGGCAAAATCACACTGGCCGGCCAGGACCAGGGCGCTAAATGAAGGAGGAGTATTTGTGAGCTGACCTGTTTTCCTGAGTCCTGGCCCGCTGGTCCCTGTCTTCTTTCAGAAGAGCAGCAGGAAAGAACATTTGTATTCTCTTGCCATGATTTTGATTTTGAGCCATTTGTGAAGCTGTAAATCTGCACTGACCTGTCCCTACTGCTCTGCCCCTGGGCTGTGCAGTCGGGGCGCCCGAGGCTGAGGGCGCGCGTGGGCGTGGGGCGGGCTAAGGGGCCATGAACGCCTAGGGGCGCCAGCTTTCCAGGGCAGACTTTCCTCGCTGTTTCTGGTGTTTTTTCTCTGAGCTTTCCATCAGATACTGCTGGCAGCATCTGGCCTCCTGGCTCATTGTTGGGGAAAGTGTCCACTCGGCCAGTGACCAGGGCACGTTGTAAGCTTCAGTATGGTGATTTTAGAATTGTCATTGGGTCGAATTGAATAGGGAAGACATTTCTTTAGCTTTTTCTTTCCCTAGAAGCCCTCCCTTGTTTAGTTTTGATAACGTGTCTGCTCTTTCTGGAAAGGTCTGATAGAACCAGACCTACTTCCCCTATTTCCAGTTCAACTCTGTTTTACTTTTCTATTAGGATTCACTTCGGGCAGATCACCAGCAACCAAATGCTTGTGCCAGTGATTGAGAAATTAAGGGAAACAACTATTTCAAAAGTGAGACAAGTCCGGGTAAGTGTCTCTGTATAGACACAACGATCAGGGAAAAATCACAGCGTGTATGTGACGCCCAGGTACCAGTGTGGGCCTCCTTGGCCACCCTCGAGGCAAGGCTTTCTCAGCGGGGCTGGTACACGTGGGGTGGCGGGTGGAGGGAGAAAACAAGAAGAAAAGCCCCTGGACGGATGGCCGCTGCGCCTCCAGCGTGGGCTTCGGCGTCTGAGCTGCCACGTCGCTGCTGAGGGCGAGGCCTGTTCACTCCCCTGTCCTCCCGCAGGATGTCATCGGCTTCAATATGGCCGGTCTCGATCATCTCAAGAGGGAACTGGAGGCTAAAAGTGAAGTGATGTTCTTTGCTGATGCTACCAGCCAGTTGGAAGAGAAGAGGAGGAAGAGGAAAAAGAGGGAGAAGCTCATTTTAACGGTGACTTAGGACAGCACTGACCCCACCGTTTCTCTGAAGGACAGCCACTGGGCACGGGGCAGCTGCTGTCATTGAAAAGAACCATGAACCCGAGGCCGGCCAGTTGCAGCAGACCAGAGGTGAAGGTGTCCGGCTTTGCCTGTGCAGGTCCCGCGAGGGACTGCGGCCCTGATTCTTGAACTTAAATGTGTGATTTGTTTAAAATCTTGGTAGGCAAAGAGTTTTTTTAACGAGGTATTTATTTCACTGGAGTCGTACTGAACATTTCAAAAATTTTCTTATTTTTTTATGGCAAGAGATGTGTTGGGTGACTTATTATGTGTGTTGGGGGTCCCCCTCCGACAGCAGCCAAATGCACAATGACCAGCCCCTGCCCATAACTGCGGAGTCTCGGACTGAAATGGGCCAGGAAAATGACCTGGAACTGCCTTCTCAGACTTTACCTCATGTAGGTTTATTTACGTGTGTATAGAACTGGCATAATCGCAAGCATCCTGCTTCTCTAAAATAGTTGTTTCTAATTAAAGAGTTTCCAAGCTGAGCTTCTGGGTGAATACATGGGACACACACGTGCACACAGGTGTGGGAGGAATTTGGGGAGGGGGGAATGCTTCAGGACGAGACAGTGACTCCTACCTCTGGTCTTATATTAGAAAACTTGGGGGAGTTTTGAAATCCCTGATTCACCCGCCCTAGATAGTTCTGTTGGGGCTTTCTTTGCAGTCTGGAGTCACTGTCAGCATTTTGTGTTTACGAATTTGCCCATTTCGTGTCAGTTACTTTTTTGTGCCATTTTCTCCTCAGTCTGAAAAGAGCTTTGGTCCTGTGGCCTGGCTCTGTGTCCCAAAACACAGGTCTGTTTGTTCCTGAGCAAACAGTCACTGAAGTGAGGTCAGGAATATGTTAGTATTATTTGTTGGCGAGAATGAGAGGAGAGGGAGTTTTGGCCCAGCGTGCCTCAGGCTTGCCATGAGAAGAGAGGAGAGTGAATAATATGACGCAATTCTAGATGCTTTCCAGGTTGAAGAACAACTCTTCCTTAGGAGGCTATTCCTGCTACCAGGGAAAGCAATTGTTCAATTCTGGAAACGATCTTAATTTCTGAGAACAGACTGAACCTGTTTGTGTTCTCTTGAGTCGTTCATCAGCACATCAAAGAAACTGCAGTGTTTTCATGAACATTTTCATGTTTGCGAACCATAACAAGTTCCAGGAGGCACGTAGATGTATTTGTCGTCAAGTACTGCTCTGCTAACGTAGTCGAAGGAAAGGGGAACTTGTGGCAGAAGTCATGTGTGATCAGTAACGGAATTGTAATTCTTGTCAGAATATTTGAAACTCCGTAGTCCTAGCAGTTGGAGATTAACAAATAAATTAAAAAAATATTAGGCGAGCAGACTTCTGGTTATTCAGACAGCATTTCTTGGCTTGGTCAGCCACTGGCTACCGTTGGCCTTCAATACAAAAACTATTTAATAAAAAACATCCACAATAAAGCCTGGCACCGAAAGAAGTATGCAGCGCCACACAGCTCCTGCAGGGTTTTTTTTGTAGCACAGCATCTAAGTGTATTAAAACACAGCTGCGGAGTGTGTGTGTCTGATATTTAGGTAGTTAATATATATTTACATTTTATATACGCTTAGGTGGTTTATTCCTAACAAAAAGAGATCCTTAACAGTTTGAAGATTCCCTATCCAGAAGGTAGGTGTTCTGAGTGTGTTCGGTATAGAGTTGTTTCTCAGCGGCACACGTCCTAAGTCGTATCAGAGACTCTGCAGCAGTGACCAAGGAGACACTGGTGTCTGTCACTGGATAAAGCCATTCGTCAGGATGAGCTTACACTGCGTTAGGATGGGCCCTGAAGCCCACGAGTGTTCCCCTGATAAGAACACCAGGGTAGGACACGCAGGGAAGGTCGTGTGACAAGAGGCAGCGTTGGGATGACACCAAGGATCACGCCTTCCACTGGACGCTCAGACAAAGTCCCAGGACAAACTGTCCCTCAGCCTCCACAAGGACCCAAGCCTTGACAACCTTGGATGCAAATTTCCAGTCTCCTAAACTGCAAGAGGATACCTGTTGTCTTAAACCCCTCAGTTTGTGGCAATATGTGTAGCAGCAGTGCCAGAAAACAGCAAATTTTGGTACAAGAAAGTGTGGAATAACAGGTACTTAACACTGGAAGTAGCTTTGGAATTGGCCGATGAGTAAAGGCTGGAAGAATTTTGAGGTGCCTGATACCAGAAGGCTAGATTATTTTGCAGAGACTTGATAGAAATGTGAGCATAAAAGCCACCTGCCGGGGCGATGACCGTAGAGAACGTATCTACTAGCTTTCTGTATTGTGAGCAGAATGTTGGTAGAAATAAGAACACTGGAGGCGCTTCCGGTGAGATGTCAGAAATGACCAAGCAACATGCAGGAGAGAAGATCCTTACAAAGTGGCAGGAAGTTGGCATCATGTTCTGCTTTGTGGTAAAAAGTGGAACTTGTCAACAATGAGCTTGACTGTTGAGCGGAGGTGTCCTAGAAAATCTGGAAGCTGTGCCCTGGTCTCTGGTTTATAGTAAAATGTTACGAGGAAAAACTCAATTGAGAAAGGAACCGGTCGGCAACGAGGAACTGGGAGCTGATGATGTGGAAAACCCCAACTTATCCACATGCAAAACTCCACTCTGGAGAGATCACCAGGATCTGGCTGTAAAGCCCACTGAGGAGATGAAGGCGGCGACCTTGCTAACGCGGTCCCAGCAGGCCGAGCACAGACCCTCCAGGGGAACCTCGTGTCTGCAGGCACAGAGCCCCCCACACCTCTGGAAACTGGCCTGCTCCAAAGATGTTGTAGCAACAGAAACACTGCCTGTTTGGCTTGAGGGATGGGGGCTACAAAATGGAGGGAGATGTTCAGATTCAGGGGGTTCTCTAAGCGGGAAGTGGGCTCCCCAGAGGCTGCAGCTGCCTCCTGGAGAGGGGGTGGCCCACAAGGCCTCTGAGGGCTTCTGGTGGAAGCAGGTAAAGTCTGTGGTGCCCAGAGGGTAGATCCAGCCCAGAATGATTATTCTAGGTCTTTGAAACCTCTCAAGGTGTGCCCCCACAACTTGCAAACTTGCACAGCTTGCAGACCAGTGGTCCTGACTACCTCTCGTTTCTTCACCTCGGAATGTCTGTCCGATGCTCGTCCCACCGCTGTAATCCGGAAGCTGACGATGTGTCTAGTGTCACAGACCAACAGATGAAGAAGCCAGGATGGGTCATCTTACAGTCTCACCCACTCACTTCTGATTTCAATCATGAGGTTTAAGCCTTTTGAGTTAGTATTTGACTATTCTGTACATACAGTTAGGACTGAAATGGTGAGCACTTCTGGAATGTTAGGATGGAGGAATGACCCTGTACGGGACAGATGTGAATTTGGGAGGGCCAGGAGCTTCATCAACCGGGTTTGGCTACACAAAATTTATGTCTATGGAAACCTGTGAATGTGACGTTATAAACAAGGTCTTGCAGATACAACGAAGCTAAGATGAAGTCATTCAGGATTAGGGCAGTCTAAATCCAGTGAGCAATAGGCTTGTTTAAAGGACAGATGGAGACAGAAATATACAGGGAACACACCCCTGGACACAGGGAGAGACTTGTGATCCAGCGACAAGCCAAGGAAACCAAGGGCTGTTGGTAACTGACAAAAGACAGAACAGATTTTCCCTCAGAGAGCCCAGAAGGACCAAGCCTGCCAGCACCTTGTTTTCGGATCTTTGGCCTCCTGAACTACAAGCAAATAATGACTTTTATGCTACCTGGTTGCACAGTTTTATGTTTCCAAAGTTTATGGGATATAACTATGGGACTCTAAGGATGAGTATAGTTGCATTAACAACTGCCCTTTGAAACGACTACTATGAGATAAGGGTCACCTTTTCTTGAGCACACAGTGGCGTCTTCCAGAAGCTATATGAAATGTACTGTTGACACAATGAACAGAGAAGATCTGAGGATTCAGCTGCAATCTACAGAGTCAGACGTTTTTCACTTAAAATTTGTGAATATGCCAGTTCATTATTTTGGCAAAGTTTCATTTTCCCCCAGTTGTAATTCTAATGTGGTGAATGCTCATAGATATGACCCACATAAATAAGAAGTGTAGAGATTCTTAATTTTTAAGAATACGAACGAGTTTAAGTCCAGAACATTTGAAAAAACACTGGTTTTCATCAATTTCTTAGGCCCCAGAGGGCATCCTGGGATATGACCGGGCTTCTATTCTCTGGAGAGTCGGCTCAACACTGAAAACAGGGCTTAAAGGAATGAATGATAGAATCACCCAGCAGTAGGTTAGTTTCTACTCATTCACTTAAGATCTTGACCTTGTCTCTCACTTCAGTTTCCTTACTTATAAAATGAGAAAGATATCATCTCTAATTTGTAGTATGAAGCTATGACAATGTATATACAGGGGTTAGCTACCACACAGTTACAAAAGCAAGTAGTTTCATTCTACCAGGCTAAGTAAATGGCTCACTAGTTTTTGGCTGTAAGAAGCAGCGGAGAAATGTAACATAGGACCTCACGTCTGAATGTATGAAAATAAAATTCCAATTTATTACTTACTGGATCTAGTGAGAAATCTTGCGAGACATGAAGGCTCCAAGAATTGAGGAAGTCCTCTGGATCATGGGGTTTTCTGTTACCCGCGGAAATTCTTTCAGTCTCTTAGCATAATTGCTGCTTGTTAAAACTGGTACAATATTCATTAAGGATGACTTTTTTTCCATGACCATATGATTTGTATATACAAATTCAGTTAACATCTTAGAATCTGAATCTCTTTTCTAGCAACATTTTAACACAATTTCAGTACTTGTCTGTCCTGTTACATACTCAAGTTTATGATTGATTGTTACAGAATTTCTTCTGTTCAGCCTAGTGTATGTTTCTAGGCTGTGGTTGGCCTTTATTAACCATCAATCACTATAACCAGGCTCCAAAACAGCGAGATCTGGACTGCATGCTTCTGGGTAGAGAAAGGAATAGATCTTGGGAAGTGGCCTATACCTCATCATTGTTGACATTGAAGGTGGATGCAAGATCTTAATAAAACTCTTCCTCCCCCCATCAGGTGATCTCTAACCCATAAGAAAGGAAATATAAATCTTGATAGTATAAAGCAAAAGGACTTAATCACTGTCATCAGCAGCAAAC